CCTTACTATCACCTCCCCCCAACTCCCACTTAATCTGTCACCCCACAGCCACGATTGTTGACCAACCAGAGACATAAAAATGCTAGTGTTGAAGGGGGTTTGAGCCATTTCCGAGGCAATCACGAACATCAAACATTCGCTAATAGAAGTGGCAAGTAACTAGGGGGTGCAAAGAAGGCATTCTTATTTGGCCTTTGTGGCGCCGAACATGCCCCCCCCCCCCCCCCTGACCCACTGAACAGCGGTTATTAACGCAACGTGATAACACTATTTGCAGCTGTATGTTTGCTTGTTTGCTCAAGCTGCTTGTCTAGACAAAAATTCACTAGGCACATGCCAAAAAAGAGCAGTTTTGCACAAGAAAATAATCTCTGTATAGCTACAGAAAACACTGTAGCTATACGAGACATGTAGAAGAACCATACTATGTGTCAGTTAATCCTCAGAACAGTGCGCATGCGTTGAGGATATTGAAGCGAAAGTAAGCCATGTCAGTGACAAGTTAGGGCGAAGTAGCGGGTTCGTTGAGTTTAGAAATTGAATATCCTGATATTTTAATTGTTTAAATGCAAGGCAATATAACAGTCGACTGCGGTCAAAATTCTACTCGCATTCATGCTGAAACCAAATTCACCACATTTCTTTATTGGTTTAACTACAAATTCTCAAACAGCCAATGATGGTTTGAAATGCACTACCCTTTTTGCCGAGGTAGATTTGCAAGTCTACTTCCAAAATGCTTGCAATAAATCATCAGACTTCCCAGTCACATGCCAAGTTGTCAAAACCCTTCCAGTGAAACTACACATTTCATTCCGGAAGAAGCACACAATGGTCCGCGACACGAAGGATGCGAAACGGTGAAATCCTGGTGATGGCAGCAGTGCTGAGACAAGATGACGTGATGAATTGGCAGGTTGGAAAGCACAAATCTAAAAAGGGATCGGGAAAATTCACAAAATATCTGACAAACTACAGTGCAGAATGGACGCGTTGAGGCGGAAGACTACGTGTAGCATTTTCCAATTACGAATTGACATCTGCAGCATGGTTCGTTGTTGAGCGTGCCCCAATGGTCACTGTCGGTACGTTAACGTCGTTCGCAAGACACAAAAGTACACACAAAGAGAACACTCATTGTAGAAATAAGCACGCTTCCAGATAGACAGACGGACAGACAGGTAGTGTATTACCTGATAGTCCACCACATTCGCACAATTCTAGTAGTTGGTGTCATTTGTCCACTGACCATCTCATTCGCTCTTACCTTGACGTGCTTACGTAGCACAGTAGGCTTTAACACAACACATTATCAGACCAGAGAATCTCAAATTAGCCGATGCACAACTGCTAAGAAAATGCAATATTTCGGCAAGGTGAAGTTCTATGTTTGCCTCACCAACGCAGCACATGCGGTACCCACACACTCATCCAGACACGTCGTGTCTACTCAATAATTTATAGACAGATTCGACAAACAGCTGTTCCTCTCGCAGATGCAAAACTGCAATGAGAAATGAACTTCTACAAGGAACTACGGCAATGTTCTACTCCACAACTTCTACCTGCGAATGACCTGGTGTCAGAAACATTGTCATCATACCGCTTGCACTTGTTGGTACAAACTTGAGCTATGTTCGAAGCTAGGTGCGACCTGCTGGGAGAACACGAGTTTGGTTAAACTGGACTGGAAGTAATGTGCATCAGGACGGCGGAAACACTCGCCTCTGCGCCAGAGTGTGGATGCAAAGTGAGAAGAGCACTGTGTGTTGTCTGTGAAGGGCTGTGAGTCTTCTCTATGCGCACGACTTCCTAGCTCATTATGACGCAACCACAAATAAACGACGAGTGCAAACAATGCGGACGGTTGCATCGGAATCACGTGGATTCGATGACTTCCAGCCAGCAAACACAAGATCGCGTGGCCCCCTTTAAGCACAGAGAGCTCGTTATCTCGTGACTACCCCTACGATTCGTATTCATTTCTCTGTAAGCACTAGCGACTCAACTCACTGCCCACCCAGATTTGCTGAATAATGCGACTACGAGCAATGACCTCTTCTGCTTCACTCAACTTCAAATCAAGCACTCATTTTGTGGCATTGAAATTGTCTTAGGACTTTAGTCAGTCTTCGTCGCCTGTACCATTGCAATGTCCGATTCCAGGATGTCACAACAAGGCCAGTCAAAACGCCTAGTCGTCAAATGCTCCCGAAAATGCGAGCATTCTTTGTGTCTACTTTAATCAAATGAGTAACTTGTGCACGTGGATAACGAAGGTTTTCGCTAAGTGGCAACGCCACTCACACTCGCGTCAGCTTCAAAATCTCACCAACTACTTGTCAATAAACTTGGTTAAGTGTGTTTCTGATCGACAACCACATTGAGACCTCAATACTTATTGATTAACCACTGATTTTCACCCGCGCAGTTTGAAAAATCGGTATTCATTTAGACCTCAGGTGCGGTTTGGGTTGACAATCTCCCATGGGGTCGATATCACTTCGACAGAAATTGACAAGACCAAATTCGAAAATGCTACGTCCGATTAACCCTCCAAGAGTAATCAGCGGCATCACTACGTGCACGTTTATCGTCAAAGGTACACATCTGGAAACAGGTCACACATGTTCTGCGAGTGGTATTCAAGAGTTTGGAAGCAAGTGTGGACCCTTGGGTTCACTGAGGTACTTGCAGATGAGAAGGAGGCGATCACATCTAGTCTGGCTAACTCATCCTCCAGCGGAACACGATCCCGTTGTCTGCTAGCGTTCTCCGTCAATCGGCATTGAACGGCAACTGAACCAGAAACCCCCACATATCAAAACCACTAACAGAACGTTGACAGAGCAAACGTCGTTGGCAGTGTATTTAAACGAAAAGAGATATTACAGCCGGCAAAACGGCATTCACTGACTTGGGGTCATACTCTGTCTGGTGCTGATCACAAACACACACACACACACCAGTGTCCACACAGAGAGGGGCAGACAGAGTACGAGGGTGTTCGTGAAAATTGTAGTTTATCAAGAAGGGGGGAGGAGGAGTAGGAGTACAAGGTAGGAGGGGAGCGCAGACTCAAAGGGGAGGATAATGTACAGACAGGAGGCTGAGTCTAATTTCGACGCCGGTTCCTGCGTCGCCGCTGGTTCGTCGGAGATGCAAAGCGAGGGACTTCGCCTGTTGGAAGTGGTGGCGGCGACGACGGGGGCAAGGACAGAGGCACAGGGGAGGGGGGTGGGTCAAGAGACGCATCCGAGGAAATGACACCACCCGTCACGGCATCCTATGAGAAGGGAAGTAAAAGCTCGAAATCAATACAATTTATCCACGCATTTCGTCCAGCGTAAATGAATATCGGAAGCGGAATTAGCTGCACAGTCATTTGTGGTTTTGAAAGGATCAAACGACCAGTCTTTGTGAGCTACATAACCAATCAGAAAAGCAGTTTACGAGGGCACGTGGTTAACAGCACACTCTAAAGAACAGGGGAGTGTCAAATTTTAGTCGGGTTGACACCAAATTTGTGTAGTAACCGGTAAAAAGCCTTTAGAGGTGGCGGTTTCGATCTTAGTGACCACCCACGCCCCGCGCACAGCAACCTCGAATGTTTGAAGATGCGCAACCGAAAGCGCTACTGGACGAAGACTCAACGCAAGACCTTGCAGCTCAGTTAGGAGTCACTCAAACAC